TTTTTGCTTTTGAATATATTTCATTTTAAGGCTCCAATGGCTGTCCATACTTTTTAAGTCCAACTTAGTGTTAAGTTCTACTTAGGATCTTTGTGAAACACTCCCCTGTTCATATTGTTAAGATTAAAAAGTTATTAAATTGATCGTTCGATCTATTCACATTATGAAATTAACATTTGTACTTGTAGTTGTAGACTCTCTTTGAACTTATGATTAGATAAGGGGCCTAGATCTATCTGTTTTTGGAAAATTGCCCCTTGCTCTGGTAAATTCCCGTGGGCAAGGGGCAACTTTAAAAAAAAAATTCCCCTTGCTCCTGGCTGCTAAATCTAAGGCTTGCGGGCCACTGCCTCGTTTGTATGTACCGTAGACCTCTATACATTCTGTGAAGAAGCTGGTGCTGAAAGTCGTGGGAAATTGATCCCGCACAAGTTTCATAAAAGACACATGACATCTAACAAAAATAGAATCAATTTTTTGGGCCTCATACTCGATGCCCTTTTTGTAAAATATTTTGGCCTCGATGCCCTTTTTGTAAAAATATTTTGGCCTTGGTGCCCTTAAAAATATGAGGTACTCAAGGCCAAACTGGCCTTGCCCTAAAAATGACGAAATTTAAGGCCTGTTAATTTATTTGACCCAGTACTGATGATCATAATTTTATCTACCATGTGATTGCCATGTGTACGCCACACCGAATAGCACTAGCTCAAAAGATTTTACTCACTAGTATATATATATAGAGAGAGAGAGTAAAGCTACATACACTTAACTGAAGGAAAGAAACCTATAGAAAACGGACTGGATATTATTGAAAATACTATTCTAAACAAGAATGTACTACATGTACTACATTACGTTACAATTTCACGAGAGAACTAGAACTCGATAGGGGAAGAAAAGAAGAAGTGATGAAAATGAAAGAAGACTAATAGCATGAGAGGAAAGAAAAGAGCTAAGAAGACAAGAAAAGGGTGTAAAAAGGAAAAGGAAGAGCAAGAGAGAGAGAGAGAGAGAGAGATAGCCTTGAGCTTTTGATCGGCTAATGAGTAATAAATGAAACAGATTTTGAGCGGACTAATTATCTTTCGCCGGAGAACTTGCATAAGGAGCTAAAACTTGATGTTTTTTAAATCAAACATTATGGGGAATAGCAAAAAACGGCTGAGCATTTATTGCACTAATTGCCAGAGGAGCATTCATGTCTTCCACGAGGCAGCACTTTTGGATCAGAGAGCAATTTAATTGTCGGTGGAGCATTGTCTTTTTTGGGGTACTTTTAGGGAGGAGCAACAATTATTGTCGTAGTAGCCTTTGTATTTTACGGGCCACTTTTTTAGCGGAGCAAATGTCGGCGGAGCAATTGTCGCGTTTTGCGAAGCAAATGTCACCGGAGCAATTGTCGCGTTTTGCGGAGCAAATGTCGGCGGAGCAATTGTCGGCGGAGCAACTGTCGTTCGAGGAGCATTTGTCACCGGAGCAATTGTCGCGTTTTGCGGAGCAATTGTCGGCGGAGCAATTGTCGGTGGAGCAAATGTCGGCGGAGCAATTGTCGGCGGAGCAATTGTCGGCGGAGCAAATATCGGCGGAGCAATTGTCGGCGGAGCTAAAGTCGGCGGAGCAAATGTCGGCGGAGCAACTGTCGGCGGAGCAACTGTCGCGGAGCAAATGTCGCGGAGCAATTGTCGCGTTTTGCGGAGTAAATGTCGGCGGAGCAATCGTCGGCGGAGCATGTGTCATGGAACCCTATCTCTATCTCCTTCTCTCTGTGTCTCTTTCTCTATCTCATTCTCTCTATGTCTCTTTCTCTATCTCCTTCTCTCTGTGTCTCTTTCTCTATCTCCTTCTCTCTGTGTCTCTTTCTCTATCTCCTTCTCTCTGTGTCTCTTTCTCTATCTCCTTCTCTCTGTGTCTCTTTCTCTATCTCCTTCTCTCTGTGTCTCTTTCTCTATCTCCTTCTCTCTGTGTCTCTTTCTCTATCTCCTTCTCTCTGTGTCTCTTTCTCTATCTCTCTCTCTATCTCCATCTCTCTCCTCCCGCACACGTCTTTTCCCCTCTCTCTATGTCTCCTTTTTTTAATCTGACTCATTTCTCCCCCTTTTATTTATCCACGCTCTTCCTCTCTCCGTCATCGTTGTTGGATATTTCCTTTTCCCTCTATCGTCATATCGTCATATTTTACCTTATATTATTAATTTTAATGCCTATTTCTCGATCATTAAAATGCGATTGTTTTTATTCTATTCATGATACTCCAATAATGCCTTTTTATTTTTAATGTTTTGAATGTACATCCTAATATGACATTTTAATTATAAACTTGAGTAATTCGGCCTTGAGGCCGCGAGGAAATTATTTGAAGAAAAAAAACATTTTAAATGAATGAATGGTAATAATAATAATAATAATAATAATAATGATAATAATACTATCATTGTGTGTATTTGTACAGAACGCTTCTATTATGACCAAGGCTAATAATAACTAAAAGTTAAATTTTATTCTAAATATCACTTCTATATGCACCCAACCTTTTATCTTCCGAATTTCTCTTTTCCACTGTAAACTTATTTTAGTTTGTTGTTGTATTTGTAACTATTTGTTAGTATCTTTGTGATGTGATGTAACGGCTTATCTGTCATTGAAAAACAATCTGTAATTTGTTTAGGTGCCTCTATTGACTCTCATTTACATTTTAATGAGCATACGTCATATGCATACGTCAATATTAACAAATATTGGAATACTGCGTAAGTAAAAAAAAAAATGTTTCTGAAAGATCCATTATTATGTTATATAATTATCTAGTTGTATCAAATGTGTTACATTGTAATATGTAACACCTAAGTAGATCCTTTTAATTTGATTGGGGAATTGTTGGTTACATGATATTCAATAAATAATCTATTGAACGACTACGTCATTGAGCTTGCATTTTTCTACTATTCATACTCATCATGCATTTTTGGTTATATTTAGACTGCGTACTTCTCTGCCCTGCGCGTATCCCATTGTTTTCATCATCTAACCTGCGCACTTATGAGGCGAAGGAAATCTGAATGTAACCGAGAGGGGCTGGCTCCAAATCTAATTTATTATTAATATCAGGAGCAAAGCATTATTTGTTAAAAAGATTAACGTTCTATTAAATCTACTTAGATGTTATATCAAACAAATAGTGAATGTGTTTCATTTGTTCAATAGTGCAAATATTTGCATTCGTTGAAAGATTTTGAACGTTCTATTGAACTCTTAAACATTCATTGTTTGTATAATATTGTATGGGGCAATTGTAGTGTAACAAGAATTCTTTCCTTATATTTTGCTTCAAAAGAGAGCGATTCGCATAATTAATAACTCAAATGCGCATATGTAATCAACTCAAAACCGAACATGATACACCAGTAAAATATATCAGACAGGTATGGAAATATATTTCATTTGAAATAAAACAAAAATCATGAATATTCATCAAATATGCAAATTAGGTCATTTCAGCTAATTATATATTCGCGCACTCATTATGCAAATTAGGAAAGTCAAACTGTTCATTTTGGGGGCATTTTTAAAATCATATATTCATAGATCATATTTACACCAAATATTAACCTTAAATTCCAAATATTTTTGCAATGCCAATAAAATATGGCGATGGAAATTACTTGGATCACCGTCACAGCTATTTCCTCATGTGTTTCACAAATTATTCAGAATAACCGATCTTATAATAAGAATTTGTAGACTTTCAGCTACATCACAGTATATTTGCCTATTGAAAAGATGTCATAATTGAGGATTTATGATGATTTTCCGAGAAACCATTCAACAGGCCATAACATTCCACAGGGACTGAATTTCAGAGTAGCAAAATTTTTGGTGACCCTAGTACAGTTGTGGCTACCTTGAGAGTAAATAACAAATTGATTTAATCAGTGAAACACATGAGAATATTGCATTTTTGTAGGAAAGTTTTATACATGAGGTGCATTTTCACCACGCAGAATAACAGTCAATGGGCGATCAGCGGGCCATGTCACACATGGCTGAAAAGACAATATTCTAATGAAATATTTAACATATTTTCCACATGCCTATAACAATGAAACTACATAGAATTGTAGTTAAAGGTATGCTTGAAATATTTATGTGAAATAAAAATTTTAAAATATTGTTGAGTTTTTTTTTTAATACATTTGCAATAATTGCTATTTCTACCAACTAACTGCTGTTGTGTGTGTGTGTTCGCGGGGCAGACTGTTTGCACAGGCAGCGTGATCACCCTAGTAATAGAATGGAGTTTTTACGGGCCATTAATCATCATTTTCTACAAACTTATCTTTAGAGATAAATATTTCACACTGGGATCCTTTTTTGTAAATATTATAATTACTCTCCGAAGGGCAATGTCATTATAGCCTCATTTCAATTTTTTTCAAAATTGTGATCATTTATTCAATATTATTGTCTATTTATTTCTCATTTAAGCCTATTTATTATCTTTTTGAAAAAGTATATTATATCATTAGTCATTAATATCTTTTTTAACTTTAGTATTCTATAACTTTTGTGATAAAAGTTATTAAATAATAATAATAATATTTTTCTTTAGGGGGGTGGCTTTATTTAGCGAAACTTAATTCGTTCACTTACAACAAATGACACCACGGGCGGCGTTTCACGAAAACGTCTCGGGTACAAATTCACCGACATCCCGTCGAAACCGCTTAAAACACGTGGGAAATTGTACTAATTTGGGGGTTTCGTGAAACGATTCACTGTACAACACCGACAGAACCAGGCCCAATACCTATTGCCTAGGGGAGCCTTTTTTCAATGACAAATGACAAAAATCAGTGACAAATCTGCTGATAACCAATCAGAAGCAAGGATTTCAGTAGCTTATAACAAAACCTGTCATTTGTCACTGATGACAAGTTATGTGAAACGCCCCCCCCCCCCCCTGGTCCTCTAAAAATGAAGTAAGTACAGTGACACGTATGCATTGTTTGGCATCAATGGGATGATACCGAGTGAATTTATTTCAAAAATGTTCTCAAGTACAAACATAATTATACAATGCAAAGTGTTACACAGCACATTCAAGCGAAACTTGTCTTGAAACATAATAATACCTCCATCATATTCTTCAAGCTCTGTATATAGGACCGACTCATTAAAACCAATCACATTTCCAATTGCTATAACAGATTAATGAAGAAAATATATCAACCATTGCTTTTAGATATTGATATATTTTGTTGTAACGTTGTCATGACATATATATAGGACACACTCATTAAAATCAATCACAATTACAATACATGAAACAGATCTATGAAGAAAGATATCAACCAGTGCTATTAGATTTTGATATATTCCTTCATATTGTATAATATTGTCTCCTAAAAATCAATCACTTTGTTACATTGTCATGTACAATTATATGGGGCTGACTCATTAAAATCACGATTCCAATACTTGTAACAGATCTATGAAGAAAGACATCAACCAATGCTGTTAGATTTCGATATCTTTTTTAACATCGTCATAACAAAATACCGACTCCTCAAAATCATTCACTTCCAATTCATCTTATATGAATACATCAATTATTACTGTTGATTTTTAGATAGTTATAGTTTGTAACATTGCCATGTACAATAGTATGGGAGTGACTCATTAAAATCAATAACAATTCCAATACCTGTAACAGATGTATGGAGAAAGATATCAACTATTGTTTCAGACTTTCACATTTGTAGGCCTAACATTGTCAGGTAGAATATCAAATCACATGACATATAAGCTAGGTTATACAAAAACAAATTGAAATATGGTACAACATGCTAATCGTTGAATTTTTAGTTTGCCGGTTCTCCATGCTGATTACCTTCTTTGTGTGCACTCTTTCATTGTAACTTCATCTTAATTCGGCTTTGCCGCAAGGTGATAGAGGACCTGGGTATATTATCCATTTAAATTTTTGATTTTCTCCCACTGAAATAAAGATGCCTTTTAATATACTCATATATAGGAGAAAGTCTATATTTCTGCTTGCAGTTCGAGAAAATACACATAAATACAAGAAATAATGATGCTCCGTACACAAAGAAATTTATATATGATTTGTAAAGCGCTAAATACACTAATACACTTGAAATTAAATGGTCAAGGCGCACATAAAAAAGACCTTATCAAAGGCTAATAAAACCTTGCAACCATCATGGTATATGTAAAATACAAAATAATTGAAAATGAAATAATGTTTGGAATAGGTGAATGAGATGTTTTATCTCTAAGCTACAAGTGAACAGGCATTTCCTATCAGCTGTAAAAACAGTATTGAAAATATAGATAATTGTAATATTTACAGAGCGCTTGATACAAATATAGCCCCTGAATGCATAAGTTGTATAGTATGTATACAGCGTTTATGGTTCTAAGCACTGTACAAAATTATCTTTACTCCACCTTTGACATTCAAATTTCTTCAAACCAGGTAAACATGTCCTACACCTGGTTGAATAGAGAGGCACATATAGATTAATGTCTTGCCAGAGGATTTTCGTGCAATGGCCCCCCAAAATAGACCCATGGTCTAAAGCGAACATTAAGACATTACATGTATTACATTTCAAAATCAGTCATTATGATATTAACATAATCCATCTATTTACAAATAACGAGTGACATAAAATATAAACAGTATATACAGAACATGTACAAATTGCATAGATCTGAAAGGTAATACGGTTAAAATGAATCCAGCATTTTTGTATTACAAAAGAAAGCAAGATATAATAAGAACAATAGAATTTTAGACAGCAGCTTCATCAAAATATACGCCAATATAGAAGAAAAAACACCTGATGACTTGTAATGCATAATTGATAACAGTTAAGTACTTGTAAGTATTTGCATAGTAAATTAGTATTGCACTTATAATATGTAACAGCTGTTTTGAGGTAGAATGGCAAGAAATCAAAATAGGAAATGTTAGTATTCGAATAAATATTCCATCCTTGTGTGTGTAAGATATATCCTCGCTACCGGCAAATCAATCTCTGGATGTTATTTAATAATGCTATTGCATTTCATCCTAAGGATCCTAAGGTGAGGAAGGTTTACGATCCGTCTTAGCTCGTCGTTTACCAGGACGTTGTTCCAGGCTCTCATCAACTCTAGCACCATCATCACCATCATCATCATCGTCATCATCGTCGTCGTCGCTTGTGACTGCGTTTGTAATAGACAGACAAAGAAGAGAGGCAGAGAGACAGACAGACAGAGAGAGAGAGAGAGAGAGAGAAGGGGGAGGGGGCATGGGGAGATCGTGAGAGATACAGACAAAGAGAGGGGCAAATGGAGATTGAAAACGTTTAGAAACAAGAGAGTGAGGGAGACAGAAAGAGAAAGAGAAATAGAAAGACAATTAACATTGAGATGATAGTGTTTAAGAATTGGAAACATTATAATTCAAGAGAGAGAGAGAGATTGGAGAGGGGATGAGAGAGGCTTTAAAATCCAGATTGAGAGAGGGAAAACTGGGATGTGAAAAGGGTTTAAAACCTCTGGATTTTGCTTATTCTGCTTCCACCTCAAATCTTAAGGCAACCTCATGATGTTTAATCGTGGCATAATGTCATTGAATGCTATTTGAAAGCGATAAAACAGCATCAAGGCAAGACAGTAAGGGAGAGTGAAGAAGGCGTCAACTCTGTGTAAAAGTATAGTCAGTTATTCCCCTTCTGGCTCAAAACAGACAATCATAAAGGTTTAAAAAAATGTTGAAAACAGCAATAGAAAGAGATGAATGGAGAAAGGGGAGATCAAGAGAGTGGATGAAAGAGAGAGTAAGAGAAAGGGATAGAATGAGGTTGAGGGAGAGAGAGGGAGAGAGAAAGATAGAGTTGTGTTACTTACCCATGTTCAGGAATTCTTTCACTCTCAAGTGGAGCTGCATTAAAAATGAGTGGAACAAAATAGGTATGAAATCCCGTTGTAAATAACTTCACATGGTGAATATATAAATTAATTATAGTAAAGCTTTGAAAAATTAATAACAAACATTTGTATTTGAAAAGGACTTCATATGCAAGTATGATTAGCAATGTTACAATGTTTTCATGTAGACTTACTTTACAATACCGTAATGCTTCCTTAAGGCAGTGTTTGTGGGATTTCTAATACTTTATTTAAATATGACCATGATATAATTCCTGTTGCGTTAACCCCCCAAAATATATGTAACTTATCACCAGGTCTTACCATCATTCTTTTTAGTCATTAATCTTTAATGAAATATTAATTGGGCATTTAAAAAGAGGAATAACCTGTCTTGCCTCTTTCAAATGAATCCATAAAACATACATGTTCTTCTTTCCTCAGTAAAATAATGTGATTTAGTTTTTTTTATGAGACTGTATTTTATGTCTCTCTTCACATGACAGCTCCGTGGTAGTTTCTTAATTTTATCGCTCCTCAATAATCAATATTGATGTACAAACCTGCACTTCTTCTGCTATGTGGAAAACGCATTCCACTGGTTGAAGGCATATCACATTTGCTTGCAGTTCAGGCAACAGGTCGGCTTGCAGTCCGGGTTCCCGGTTTGCTCGCAGTCCGGGCTCCGGGTACGCTTTTCCCTGAAGTAAGGACTCTGACATGACAACCATTCATAGAGTTTAAAGAAAAAAGGAAATAAATAAAATGTGACTAGCTGCAAAAATGAGGGGAAAAGAGAAAAGGGATTGGTAACGTATGGAATCGGCCAACCTAGTCCTCCCTCTCCCCCCTTAAATGCAATTTTGTTTCTTTTTTTAAACCCCTATATTTGTTGTTATACATGTAAATATATGGTCAAGGATACAAGTGTACATGGACAGCTTGTAAACAATAAATTTACAATTGTATTAGATACAGTAAAGCAAGGGAGAAGATGACGGACAAATCCAAACGACAAAAAACCATCAACCTTATATAAAGTGTGATTTCTCAAACATGAGGTGTTCCAACGCAGTTTTTCAAAAAATATTTAATGTCCTCATGTTGTAGCCCCCCCCCCAAATGAAACATACGTGAGCCATTTTGGTCGGCATTGGTTCAACTTTAGTTTGATTATCACAGTAATAATTATCTGGGGGATTTAAAAACTTTCCTTTGATATCATGATCTTCCACCTTCATGACCTCTTACTCCAGAAATCTCATTATACTTCATCAAAGTTTAGCTTGAATTGCTTCAATGCTTTGAAGTTAACACTGAAACAAAAACAACAACAAAATTGCCTTTTTTTTGGGGGGGGGGAGGGTATTAAAAAAAAGATTTATGACTTTCTTTCTGTTTCTTACCTTTCACCTTTGCCCTCTTACATTCGTAATCTAATCACTTCATCCTTGCATGCTCATACAAGCTTCATCTAAGTTTAGTTTGTATTGCAGCTTTAATACTTCCCAAGTTATCGCGGTAATGAAATATTTAAACAATTTTATGAGCCTGTGACCTGTATCATTGCACCACTTCTACCCAAAATCTTATCGGTTCATCATTGCATGCTCATAAATACTTCATTAAAAAGTTTGGTTAAAATTTGTGTAATGGTTCTCAAGGTATTGCGGTAACAAAAAGCGGGACAGACGGACAACCCCAAAACATAATGCCTCGATGCATCACCACTATTGGTGGCACCCTCATCAAACAAAAAAGGCTAGAACCTCAGGTTTTTTTTTTCTTCTTCATTTTTATCAACACGATTCATTAACGTAGGTTGCCACCAAAATAATTGCATCGATGTTACTCTTTCTTTCTCTCTCTCTGTCTCTTCACCCTCAATTCTCCAAGCTAGCTCACCACGTCATGAAACCAATGATTTGATAAAGTGAACAGACTCAAGGTCATGAAATACAAAGTGAGCAAAGAATAGGGCTAGTTAGAGAATCCTAATTTCTATATACATGTATAAATATGTAATTCATGAATTATGCTAAGATCACATGCTTATGTAATTTCATATATAATTCTATAATTCCTGAAGTATTATACTTAATCGATATATTTTGTTTAAAGTTTCATAGACCCAATGTTTCTTCTTCTTTATTTCTTCATATTTCAATCTGGTTGTTTTTCAAATCTACAAATGGACGAGTCGGGCTTTTAAAACTCCCACACAAAATCATCATACTGCATGAAAATTGATGGTAAGCAGCAAAGGAACCTCTATATCCATGCATGTTCTACTGCCTGCCTTTTCTTATTACCTTTGAGGATGCAGCCAATGAATCAAGTTCAGTGAAGAAAGTAAAACATGAAGATTTATTCATATTGTTCTCTAAGGTTGTAAGGCAGGGTAGAGAGATGATAAACTTGGCTAGCTGCTTGGATGCCGAATCACTTAGTACCTTGAGTTCAAGGAAATTGCGCGAAGTGAAATTCAGGTTGACTGTTTGAATCTGTAGGGATAGAAAATCGATTGGCATCAGTTATGTGCATGTAGCATACATAATATCACATGTATGCATCATTGATAATGAAACCACAAGTATTACGTTCTGAATCTGCAGTACAATCTTCAATGAATAGACAACACAAGTAGCCGCAAAGTGATGAGGAAGACAAAAGTGTATAGAGAGGGAAATATAAGTTCTCATATTTTTTGCAATGACGACGTTCGTCATTGCCTTGTTTTCGTTCACATTCTGCCCCATTAATATTCTCCTCCTTAGTATATTCCTTATCGTCCAAAAATCCCATTCGTTTTGCACGTAGTGCTTGTCCTTCCTAGTTAGGTACTTTTCTCCAGTCCTTTTCCTTTCAAATCTCGTAGGCATCATCTCTAGCATCTCATCCAGGTCACCTACTTTTTCGATTTTCGAAATCAGTCATGCATGACCGTCCAGGCGCCATTTTGTCCGTTTCTGGTCCATTTTAAGGCCTTTCTATCTTCCTTCCTATCTCCACTATCCTAGATCCTACAAACTTCTAACAAATTCCTCTAGATAGTCTAAGAGGTGTTCTTTCATCTGCGACATATAACCTGACCTTCAAAATGCAATCTTCGTACTCAAAATTCAAATCTGAAACCGACTCCGTCAAAAATCTCTCAAATTCTTGAGAAATTGACCCCTAAATAATCTAAAACTGCCATAACTTTCTCATATTAATTTCGTTTTGTATTTAAATCTCACAGTATCTCAATCTCATAAATGCACATAGCCCTGCCAAATTTCACGCTCCAATGGCTTTGCAAAACATAAATAGCGCCCTCTAAAGTTTTGGGAATTGGCTTTCTTTCTGTGGCCGTATCTCCATTATGGCTTGGCAAACCCGTACCCTTTTTTGGATTTAGTTACTTGAAGATATGCCCTTTCCAGCCATTTACAAAATTATATACCCTAACACTGACCAAATTTGCGAAAATTGCCCTCCAAATTCGCCATTTTCAAGAAAATTCCGAAATAACTTCAACTTGCTCTAAAATGGCGATCTTTATACGTACGTCGTTGAAACTTGGCAGACACATCTATCCATATACGTGACAACCAAGTTTGGTAAATTTTAATAACGTCAGCGCAAAGTTATCGCCAAAAATGATGAATTTGCTATGCATTACGTAATAGCGCCTTTAATGCGTGCAGTACATTGCGTGCAGATGACAATGGTGTCAAACTGACCGCAATGAAGTGCCCTTTCGAATGATACCAAGTATGGTATATGTTTACACAGAAAATTGTGAGTAAATCGCATTTGAACAAGGGTCACTATACGAATTCCGCCCGATTATAATACTTATCGGCCATGACGTCATTTTTTCAGACTACTTTTCGCCCCCTAAACATCCTTTTTTTTCCTTGAAAATTTGCAATGACATTCCGAGATGCAATACGCAGGGCACCTCGTGGCCGGATTTTTGAAATTAGTCAAGGGGGCCATTTAAGACGCCATTTTGTCCTATAAATCTATTTTACATCACATGTTTCGATAAGATTATCATAGAAAAAAAAAAGTGGTTTACAATAACAACCATGAAATTTTCTTTCTAATGATACCAAATAAGGCTCATAAAGAGACATAAAGAGAGAGAGAGAAAAAACAATTTAACTCCGGTCAAAATACAGATCCTGTACGTTTTCCGCCCATGCATTACACGCATTGTCTATGGGGCATATCGGGTTCACGCTTTTGACCCACAGAACGATCTTGATTTCAATGACGAACATGCACCAAATCCCATTGGTTTTTGCACGCAGTGCTTGCGAGCCCTTTCTAGGTTCTTTCCCCTATCCCAATTTCTTTCAAACTTCGTAGGCATAGTCACTACCAGTACCATCCCATCAAGCTCACTGTTGAGGCCTTTCTTTCGCCCTACCTATCTCCAATATCACAGAAGCTACAGACTTCGTACAAATTGCTCTGGATAGTGCGAGAGAAGCTCTTTCGTTTGACACGTAGAAACATGGCGTCATTGCACGCACATCGTTGTGACACGATTGCATTTCTAGTTTGTATATATTTCTGTTGATTTTTATACGTAGAGTAGCCAAAGTGTGGTAGGCATCCCCGGATATTTTTTCAGGGGGGGGGGGGGAATGTTGTTGATTGATAGAATTTAGGATTTTACAAATGAATGGCATATGTAAATCATGAAGCATGAAAAAGGGAAAATAGTGGAAACAACTATAATCTGTACTCTCACGTTAAACATTCATATAACCACAGCAGATGATTTCAGGTTCTGAAAGGGGGGGGGGGGGTGTAAAAAGACATCTGATGAGCAAGATAAAAGGAGGAAGAAATATGGTAATTGGGGCAGTAGCATATTTTATAGTGAAAAAAGTAATTAAAAATCTTCAATCCGAAGCTACACATAGAAATTCGTTATTTATATTGGAGAAAGCAAGAATTTAACAATTGCATCAATATCAGTGTTTCCTTCGGTACTGAAAATGCATCCGTTTTGACTCAAAATACTTTGCCAGGATTACTAGCACATCTATAGCATATTCTGTATTTGTTGTTGTTGTGATTTTAGATGACTGCTTAAAAGTGTTATGCCTGTGGAAAAGTATCCAGAAAATTGATGGCATTTACATATATTTGTATTTCTTAAGAATCTCAATACAAAGAACAGGAATAATACGTTTACAAATTATTACATCTCCTCAGTTTTGCATTGCATTTGTCATTTCATTGAGGAAGAAATACAGTAATTGGAGCAGTAGCACATTGTATAGGGGAAAATATATTTTGAATCTTTCATACGAAACTAAAAATTCATCAATCAAACTGGTGAAAGCATAGATTAACAAATTATTGTGCTATCAGTAATTAGTGTGAGGCACACTACTGATAACAAATCCGATTCGATTTAGATAATGCTTCACTCGTACTGGCCCATCTTTGTTAATCTTTGATTTTTTCACCTGAATTTGAACAGTCATAGACAAGTGTTAAAAATATCTACGGCAATTTTTTTAATTCCTATCACACGACTTCATTTTTTTTTTAAAGACAAAAATCTTTTGTTTTTCTGCTTCTTTGTAAACAAGACATTTTACCTGACATGAAGAAGCTCGATCAGCAATCTCTTTGTAGAAATCATCATGAAATTCACATGAGCTAATCTCCAGGTCTATAAGATGAGGCAGGAGACTGAGAAACTTCCCCATACAGGAGGATTCTGATTGATGTGCGTGTAGGTTACAATTATAAACCAGCTTAAACTTCTGAATCTGTGCATGGAAACACAACAGAATAACATACGTGAATCATGAAGCATGAAAAGGGGAAAATAGTGGAAACCCTTATAATAGTCTGTACTGTCACATTAAGCATTCATATAATCACAGCAGATGATCTTGGATTCTGAAGGGGGGGGGGGGTTGAAAAGAAATTTGATGAGCAACAAAAAATGAGGGAGAAATATGGTAATTGGGGCTGTAGCATATTTTATGGAAAAAAGTAATTAAAAATCATTAATACGAAGCTACACATAGAAATTTGTCAATCATATTGGAGAAAGCAAGGATTTTAAAATTACACCTTTTTTAGTGTATACTCATGAACTGAAAATACATCCGATTCGACTCAGAAAATACTTTGCCAGGATGACTAGCCCACCTATTATAGTTTATTCTGTATTAATTTTGTTGTTGTGATAATACCTGACTGCTGAAAATAATTAAGTAATTGGAGCACTAGCACACTGTGTAGGGGAAAATAAATTTTGAATCTTTCATACGAAGCTAAAAAATACATCAATAAAACTGGTGAAAGCATAGATTAACTAATTTCAGCGTTATCAGTATTCCTATCACACGACTTCCTTTTTTTTTCTTAAAGACAAAAATATTTAGAATCTTTTGTTTTTCTGCTTCTTTTTAAACAAGACATTTTACCTGACATGAAGAAGCTCGATCAGCAATCTCTTTGTAGAAATCACCATGAAGGGAACAATAACGAATCTCTAGGTCTGTAAGATGAGGCAGGAGACTGAGAAACTTCCCCATACAGGAGGATGCTGATTGATTATTGCGTAGGTTCAAATCGTGACCCTGAAACTTATGAATCTGTGCATGGAAATATAAAAGAATGAAATATGTGAATCATGAAGCATAAAAAGGGGAAAATAGTGGAAACCCTTATAATAGTCTGTACTGTCACATTAAGAATTCCTATAATCGCAGCAGATGATCCAGAATTCTGAAAGGGGGTGGGGGGGGGGGGGGGGGCTTAAAGAAATTTGATGAGCTAGAAAAAGGAGGAAGAAATATGGTAATTGGGACAGTAGCATATCATATGGGAGAAAATGTATTGATACTAACAATGATAATAATCTGGATTTATATAGTGCTTAATACGAAATACCATCTCTTACAGATGTTATTACCCTGGTCATCCGAGTCATTCAGACACACACAATGTGCAACATCTCATACGATTGCACTGTGAAAGAAACGTTGTGGAATCGATCAGAAAAGGTTGATCATCTAGCATATAAGTATTGGTGTGTACTGCAAGGTTCTGGAATCATCAAAATGATAAGAAATTTGGCCAGTCTTGGTAAAATTACAAGCACTGTACACAAAAAGATGTATATGGGACTATGCGTCATCTATCCAGACCGGATAGATATGATAATTTATCAAATATATCAATTAGTAGGCAGTTTCCCGACAATTTTTGTAATCATCACGTATTAGTCAAAACATATTCTTTCACATGGTTGGTAATATTAAGAGCTTCTATGCATTTCATTTGTTGAGAGAGGGCCCGGCGTTTCCATACCTTTAAACATACGGCTTGATAGCTCTATTAAGGAGACAGATGTAGCGAGTAACTCCTCAAACAGCAGGATAATGGCTGGTCATTGCAAATATGTAGAGAGTCAATACTTTTTTCTTCTATTTTATAGGGTAGAGTAATAATAGTAATTTCACATATTTAACCTTCAACATGTGAATCAACAATTGCACACAGCTAGCGTACACCGGAAAGTCATGGTGAAGGAAATTTTGATATTGGAAACCCTTTCGTCTGTAACTGAGTGGCACTTTGTACATCCCTTTCAAAAACATTTCATTTCATTTCATTTCATTTCATTTCTTTATTGTATCCATATAGGATAATTGTTTATATTTACATAAAAAAATCTTGCTTCAACATATGAACATAGGAACAACATATAATTGACAATCATAGGGCCCTGTTTTAGTATACATTTAATATAATATACATGATCATGATGAATGTACTTTTTAATACTCAATGTCTGGTATATCATAGCGTATGGGACGGTGAGTTGGGACGAGCATGTCTTCAGTACTCGCCCATTCACACCGTCAGGCCCCGGTGACTTTTTAGGGTTAATGAGCTTGAACCGTTTGCGAACATCTGATTCATGGATCACAAAAGGCTCGCGGTCGTGGCCCATCTCACTGAGCAGCGAATGCTTGCGAACGTTGCGAATTTGGATTCGCCAACTTTTCTGACGAATGTTAGCGAAAATCAGCGACATTAAGTGACGTTTAGCGACAATTAGCAACATTTGAGCGAATGTCTCCGAAAGTGTTTGCGAAAGGCAGTTGGCGACTATTAGCGACTGTAAACAAATGTTAGCGATAACTTTTGCGAAGATTAGCAACTATTTGCCAATCCTTTGCCACTATTTGTGAACGTTTGAGACCTTTTGCTAACTGCTGGTACTCAATGGGTCGATTTTATAAAGGAACCATATGGTAACGTGGTCGCTAGCTTTGGCGAAACACAGAGAACTGACGAAAACAAAGAGCAAAACCGTTTAACAACCGTTTGCAAAGGCTTACGACTGTTTTGCAAACGCCTGCAACTGTTTGCGGAAAAATAAATTCGCAAAGAAATTTTTAACATGTTCAAAATTTCTTTGCGACAAGAAAAACTGTTTACAACAAAGAAAACTGTTTGCGATCTTTCTTGCAACCTTTTACAACATTTTACAAACTCTGGCGAAACCCCAAATTCGCTACTTTCGCAAGCATTCGCCGCTCAGTGAGATAGGCCCTTAAAGCAGGGCTCCCACTTAGCCGAGTTGTATTAGCGAGTTATGGCGAGTTGTGGTGAGTTGCCTCAAAGAGGCACTCGCAATAACTCGCAAACAATTTGGTATGGCTAAAGCAGGGCTCCCACTTAGCCGAGTTGGAGCCTCGAGTTGTGGTAGCGTAACTCTTTACAACATTCCACGACTCTCCTCGAAGTCGCGAGCAGTTCCAAAATGTTGAACATGTTCAAAAGATTTCCCTGATTCGTTGTAATTCGAGGTGAACTCGTCTACACTCGTAATATACACGCATTACTCGTAAGCTCGCGCTGCACTCTTCATAAGGTGGTGAGTTATGAAGAGTGCAGCGCGAGCTTGTAACGAGTAATGCAAGTATTTTACGAATGTTAAGCAAGTTCACCTCGAGCTACAACGAATCCGCGAAAATGTTGAACATGTTCAAAATTTTCACTGATTTGTTGTTACTCGAGGTGAAGTCGCTGTTACTCGAGGTGAACTCACTTACACTCGTAATATACTCGCATTACTCGTAACAAGCTCGCGCTGCACTCTTCATAAGGTGGCTAGTTGCTACGAGTATATTACGAATGTAGGCGAGTTCACCTCGAATCACAACGAATAGGGGAATTTTTTTGAACATGTTCACATTTTTGGAACTACTTGCGACTTCGAGGAGAGTCGTGGAATGTTGTAAAGAGTTACGCTAAGCCATACCGAATTCTTCGCGAGTTATTGCGAGTGCCTCTTTGAGGCAACTCACCACAACTCGCCATAACTCGCTAATACGACTCGGCTAAGTGGGAGCCTCGAATTGTGGCAAGTTGGCACGAGCTTATGGCAAGCCTTTTTATCATTAAAACATATTTCTTGATATCAAGAATTCAATTCTTGATATCAAGAAATAATTTTACGTTGTAATGCAATAGTAATTCTTGATATCAAGAATTGAATTTGTGACATCAAGAATTCGAATTCTATCAAGAATGTTTTTGCATACATAATAATGAGCCCTGTGACCCCAAAATCTAATCAGTTCATCGGCTCTGCAAGATACACACACGACCCAAGTTTGACGGGAATTAATCCATTAATCAGTTCTTGAGATAACGCGATCACAAGCTATTTTTGCATACATTATGAGCCCGGTGACCTTTGACCTCATGATCCCCAAATCTAATCAGTTCATTGCAGTGGCGGATCCAGGGAGAGGACCCGGGGGCCCGCCCCACCCCCCCCCCCCCTGGGGGAAAAAAAGGGTAAAAACACGTGATTTTTACCTTTTTGGGGCGATGGCCCCCCCCCCCCCCTGGCGCTCAAGGGGGGGGGTGCACATTTTTTAATTTTGGAGGGACAAAAAAAAAAAATGTGCTCACTACCCCCCCCCCCCCCCCCCCCCCCCCCCCCCCCCCCCCCCCCCCCCCCCCCCCCCCCCCCACTGAGCGACTTTTCGGCCGGCGCGATTTTCAAATTTTTCGGGAGCAACAAACAAAAAAAGTTGGGCCCCCTCCCCTAGGAAATCCTGGATCCGCGCCTGGTTCATTGGCTCTGCAAGATACATTGACCAAGTTTGGCGGGAATCCATCTATCGGTTCTTGGGATAACGCGATCACGAGGACGGGACGTACGGACGGACAACCGAAAACATAATGCCTCCGGCTACTTTGTAGCGGAGGAATAAAAATAAATAGCTGGTACATAATTATCCCCTGCCGAAATTTTACAACATCGAATAATCTGTGGAAGAGAAACGATTGACGTAGGTAAACCATAAAGAATGAAATGGGGGAAAGAAAATCATAAACTACTCTATATTCCTCTTGCCATACAGCAAAACCTACACATCCTTACGACTTTTCATGACAACTGTTAACTTGGCATTTTTCAATCCATTAGGAGGAAAAGAAAAAAGGAGGAAGAAATATGGTAATTGGGGCAGTGGCGCATTGCATGGGAGAAAAGTAATGGAGAATCTTTCAAACGAAGCTACATATAGAAATTTGTCAATCATATTAGAGAAAGCAGGGATATGCATCATTATCAGTGTATCGTCAGATCAGAAAATTACTTTGCCAGGATTAACCGTACTAGCACATCTATTATTTTTTATTCTGTATTTTTAGGTTGTTGTGATTTTACCAGACTGCTAAAAAAGTGTTATACTGGTGGAAAATTATCCAGAAAATTGATGTCATTTACATGTATTTGTATTTTTTTTTTTACTTGGAATCTTCGTACATCAACAAGAATACTATGTTTACAAATTATTCACATCTCCTCAGTTTTGCTGAATATCATGAAAAATTGAGATTGGGACATTATTTATAGGCAGGGTGGCCCATTAGCAAGCCCCCCACCCCCCCCCCCAAAAAAAAGAAGGAAATCCTGTGAATATAATCAGCATTTTGAAGTGAATCTTGACTAAGAATCATCAGAAGAATTATTTACTATAATTTGTACCAAGATTGATAACTTTAATGGAATATGAACAAATAACAAAAATTGATTTATTAATCATATTAAGTGTGAAAACATAATCCAAGTCTACTGACCTAAAAATGACATTTGACCTTGACTTTGTGACCTGGAATTTGTGTAATATGAGTTGTGATACTTGATAACTCTTGGGTACAAGTTTCATGGAATTTGAACAAACACTTTTGAAATTGTGTCAAAATGTCAAAATCTTGATGTTGATGCCACAACAAAGTCTAAGTTTGCAGACCTGTAATGACTTTTGACTTTGACTTAAAGTACAAGTCCACTCCAAAAATAACTTACTTTCAATAGAAGCAGAAAAATCATACAAACCAATCAAAGAAAGTTTTAGCAAAATCGGATAACTAATAAGAAAGTTATGATTTTTTGAAAAAGTATCTAAAACTATGGAACAATGACCTTTTGTCTTTGCATGTCAGCCCAATGCTCATTTTCGTGATTTGTGTACAAAACATATGGAAATGTCATTTTTCCTAAAAAAAAAAGATAAAACATTGGTTATCGGGTCTTGTTTAAAGCTTATATGTTTGTTTTGGGAGTCAAAATAGTTCAATTGAAGTTAGAAATATAAAAAAAACAAAACAATAAAATACAAAAGTTGAAAAAAACAATGAAATATATAAGATATTATCAAAACAAGAGATAACATAAGGAATAACCTAGCTCTTCCAAATGTGTTGTTGTATTATTGTTTCAAATGGTCTAACGAATACATGTAGTGAAAAAGAATGCTCAAATATAAAGAATACATGATTTATGGGTAAAAAGGTGAATTGTATGACCTTATTTGCATAAATACCATAAATATGCAAATGTGTGAATTTTTCAAAAAATTACCATAGTATTCTATACACTTCACTTGACATGCATGCAAATTTCGCGAAGATCAGCCGTTTCGCGGCTTAGATCTTAAGGCCCCCCCCCCCCGGCCGCTATTGTTTTTCCCCAAACAGGTTTGCCAATGCTAATTTTTCCGGTCATCTGATTGGCTGATATGTTACGTCATTAGCAATGACGTAACCGTTAGGGTGAGTGATAGGGTTATAGAAATCATGCAGAATCCTTTTCATCAACCCATCGTTGGCTCAATCAGTAAGGTCAGCGTAATACAGTCTCAGAGTTGTGGGTTCAAGTCTCAGTTTATTCAGTTTTTTTTGCCTTTATAAATAGTGAGGCAAAGCAATAAAAAATCAAAGTCTAATTGTTTGTGACCTCTTTCCAAGCTGCTAATGACGTAGAACATATCAGCCATTGAGAAGAACGGAAATATAAGAAATTGCTAACCTGTTTGGGAATAAAAATTTCGCTCCCCGGCCCTATCAAGAACTCAAATAGCCCGGCCTTTTTAGGGTTGAAAAAATATACATATATATATATTTTGCGTCTTTTTTTTTTTTACTGCTTCCGTTTAAACAATACATTTTACCTGAGATGAAGAAGCACGATCAGCAATCTCTTTGTAGAACTCATCATGAAGGGAACTTGAGCGAATCTCCACGTCTGTGAGATGAGGCAGGAGACTGAGAAACTTCCCCAGGCAGGAGGATGCTGATTGATCATCGCGTAGATTCAAATGGCTGACCTTAAATGTCTGAATCTGTGCACGGAAATACAAAAGAATAACATACGCGAATCATGAAGCATGACATGAGGAAAATAAGGGAATCCTGAATATAGTCTGTACTGTCACATTAAACATTCACATAATTACAGGAGATGATCCAGGGCTCTGGTTTGAGGGGGGGGGGGGGGCAGAGAGGGCCAGTAAAAAGAAATCTAAAGAGCAAAATACTTGGTAACTGTTTAGTTGGTTTGTATTGTTTTCTATGGCATTTTTATAGGCAGGGTGGCCCATTAGCAAGCCCCCCACCCCCCCCCCCCAAAAAAAAGAAGGAAATCCTGTGAATATAATCAGCATTTTGAAGTGAATCTTGACTAAGAATCATCAGAAGAATTATTTACTATAATTTGTACCAAGATTGATAACTTTAATGGAATATGAACAAATAACAAAAATTGATTTATTAATCATATTAAGTGTGAAAACATAATCCAAGTCTACTGACCTAAAAATGACATTTGACCTTGACTTTGTGACCTGGAATTTGTGTAATATGAGTTGTGATACTTGATAACTCTTGGGTACAAGTTTCGTGGAATTTGAACAAACACTTTTGAAATTGTGTCAAAATGTCAAAATCTTGATGTTGATGCCACAACAAAGTCTAAGTTTGCAGACCTGTAATGACTTTTGACTTTGACTTAAAGTACAAGTCCACTCCAAAAATAACTTACTTTCAATAGAAGCAGAAAAATCATACAAACCAATCAAAGAAAGTTTTAGCAAAATCGGATAACTAATAAGAAAGTTATGATTTTTTGAAAAAGTATCTAAAACTATGGAACAATGACCTTTTGTCTTTGCATGTCAGCCCAATGCTCATTTTCGTGATTTGTGTACAAAACATATGGAAATGTCATTTTTCCTAAAAAAAAAAGATAAAACATTGGTTATCGGGTCTTGTTTAAAGCTTATATGTTTGTTTTGGGAGTCAAAATAGTTCAATTGAAGTTAGAAATATAAAAAAACAAAAACAATAAAATACAAAAGTTGAAAAAAACAATGAAATATATAAGATATTATCAAAACAAGAGATAACATAAGGAATAACCTAGCTCTTCCAAATGTGTTGTTGTATTATTGTTTCAAATGGTCTAACGAATACATGTAGTGAAAAAGAATGCTCAAATATAAAGAATACATGATTTATGGGTAAAAAGGTGAATTGTATGACCTTATTTGCATAAATACCATAAATATGCAAATGTGTGAATTTTTCAAAAAATTACCATAGTATTCTATACACTTCACTTGACATGCATGCAAATTTCGCGAAGATCAGCCGTTTCGCGGCTTAGATCTTAAGGCCCCCCCCCCCGGCCGCTATTTTTTTTCCCCAAACAGGTTTGCCAATGCTAATTTTTCCGGTCATCTGATTGGCTGATATGTTACGTCATTAGCAATGACGTAACCGTTAGGGTGAGTGATAGGGTTATAGAAATCATGCAGAATCCTTTTCATCAACCCATCGTTGGCTCAATCAGTAAGGTCAGCGTAATACAGTCTCAGAGTTGTGGGTTCAAGTCTCAGTTTATTCAGTTTTTTTGCCTTTATAAATAGTGAGGCAAAGCAATACAAAATCAAAGTCTAATTGTTTGTGACCTCTTTCCAAGCTGCTAATGACGTAGAACATATCACCCATTGAGAAGAACGGAAATATAAGAAATTGCTAACCTGTTTGGGAATAAAAATTTCGCTCCCCGGCCCTATCAAGAACTCAAATAGCCCGGCCTTTTTAGGGTTGAAAAAATATACATATATATATATTTTGCGTCTTTTTTTTTTTTACTGCTTCCGTTTAAACAATACATTTTACCTGAGATGAAGAAGCACGATCAGCAATCTCTTTGTAGAACTCATCATGAAGGGAACTTGAGCGAATCTCCACGTCTGTGAGATGAGGCAGGAGACTGAGAAACTTCCCCAGGCAGGAGGATGCTGATTGATCATCGCGTAGATTCAAATGGCTGACCTTAAATGTCTGAATCTGTGCACGGAAATACAAAAGAATAACATACGCGAATCATGAAGCATGACATGAGGAAAATAATGGAATCCTGAATATAGTCTGTACTGTCACATTAAACATTCACATAATTACAGGAGATGATCCAGGGCTCTGGTTTGAGGGGGGGGGGGGCAGAGAGGGCCAGTAAAAAGAAATCTAAAGAGCAAAATACTTGGTAACTGTTTAGTTGGTTTGTATTGTTTTCTATGGCAAATGTATATACAATGAACGCAAGAATGTATATATATTTCTACAGTCAAACCTGCCTATAACGACCACCTGTCTATGACGACAACCTGCCTAACATGACCAGCGACCGCCCATTTTGAAGCTGCAAGGAAGACGTATGCGGGTATAGCCACAATCAGGTTGCAACTATTCTACCCACAGCGTTACGCATCTCTCCTGGAAACGCATCTCTCCTGGAAACGCAAAGTCATTTAATCATATTTTTTCGCCTGAAATGTTAGACCATATGAGTTCTTCATCAGGCAGCAACTTTTGCTTCAATTTCATTTGTGTTGGCTTTGTGAGAATGGTAATAGAGGGCCAAAAATACCATGTTGTCCTATCTTCAGAAACAAAAAATCAAACATAGATAAAAAGTTTACAAAAATATATGCCGCCATTGTAATCATAATTTTGTCCTGTAGTGTCATTCCTGCTATATGACAATGTTTTCAAAGTTCTAATATTATATACTTTGCTTTGTGTAACTATCCCCCGGGGACTAGCTGTGGTATAATAATATTTAGCTAAGCATAGCATTTTTTTTGCAATTTAGTAAATGGCATTTGCAGTGTCCGTAACACAAGTGTGTGATGGTGTAAAAAATACAGTTTGATAACTAAAGTACTAACAATTTGTAAATTTTATTTGATACAGTTGCTCTTCTCAATGAATATTTTTTTTAAATCTTTCCCTGGAAGGTTTTCTTCTGGATATGATATTTCGCACACTCCAGTACGTGTCTGCAGTATCTCCTGAGGACTATGGAAAAATACCTTCTTTTGAGGACACCCCCTTTGAGGGGATTGACATATAAATTATGAAAAATCTCATCGTATACGTTTTGCTCACAATTTTTTCTCGATAAATTAAGCTTACTATTTGATAGAGAGAGATAGAGAGAAAAAATTGACTGAGGTCGCTTTTGACTTGTTTACCGACAATTGTATGTATATAATTATGAGGATTTTATGAATACTGGTTAAATTGCCACCACCAAGAACGATCACCGAACATCTGAGGATTATTGAATAAATGTATTAGGAATGATTATTGATTATACCATAATTTCGCATGTAGATTAATTATCACTTTAAACAAAAAATGCGTTGTTCCTGTTTTTTCGGCATACACTGTCTAAGGTTGTAGAAGTATACCACTTGTCAAAATACTCTTCAAAAAGTACAGACTGTGGTCTTTTTATGACCCCAAATTTTCCAACGCCATTTTAACGAGTTCCTAAAAATGGGTCCTTACGATACGATACATGACTGTGTGGGCTTGAGTCATCGGGGAGTGGACATGGCTGGTCTGCTCGTCCGTCTGGCTGTCCGTCTGGGCTGGAGTCTCCGGGTTGCGGACGTCGGGGAGTTTCGAATCCATGGGTTGGGTGTGCTGTCGGCGAGGCGCTATGTGTGTCCCCGACGTAGGCGGCATTGTAGTCTGCTGTCGTCTGCTGTGCATTGTAGCTGTGAGGCTGGCGGCTGCTTTGAGGGTTCGGCGGGTGGCGGTGGTTGATGTACGGGTGTCTGCGGGGTGGTGAAGGCGGTGGTGGTGGAGGAGGAGTGATCGGGTACTTGTTGATGAGGGGCTTCCAGATGTCGTTGATGTATAATCCTGAGTCTTGGGGCACGGTGTTGTGGCGGTGAATTTTGATGGCTTCTCGGATTCGGCGTGTATGCCAGTCCTTCATTATGGAGATGAGATGACTGTTATCCCATTCGATGGTGTGTTCGTGTTGCTGGGCGTGTTTGACGATGGCGGACTTATCCCAATCGCTGAGTCTGAAGCTGGTTCTGTGCTCCTTGGGTCTTGTTTCCATGTAGACTTTTCCACATTCGCATGGTTTTTTGTAGACTCCAGCTTTCTTGTGGTTTGGATGCTTATCTTTGTGGGAGTGGAGTATCGAATGGAGTTTGTTGGAGGAACTGTGTCGAACTTGGATGTCTGCTGCTTGAAGGATACGCTGAATCTTGTGAGAGGCTTGACCGATATAGGGAAGAACAACAGTTTGTTTCGGTGGTGTAGCTGCGGGTTGGCTCTCTTCAGGGATGGTGTTGGCTGCGGGCTTGCTGGCGGGAGTCTTGGATTTGATCTTATGTCTTGGGTATTTGTTGATGGTAGTTAGGGCTGTGGTGACATGCTAGATTTCCTGGTCTAGATGGTCGGCATCGCGCTGAGTTGATGGGCTCGGCGGATGAGGGCGTTGGGGACTGATTGTAGTACGGATGGATGGTGGAAGGATCTGTAGTGAAGATTTCTATCGGTGTGTGGGTTTCCTGTAGACTTGGTGAGCGGGCTTGCCGGATGGCGATTTGGTAACGAGGACGTCTAGGAAGGGGGTGCTGTTGTTTTGCTCAGTCTCCATGGTGAATTTGATGCTCGGGTGATGCCGGTTGATGTGGGCGAGGAATATTAAGTGGTCTAAGTCACGCCTGCTATGTGGCTAGATGACGAATGTGTCGTCGACATATCGGAGCCAGAAAGAAGGACGTTGTGAGAGAGTCTGGAGTGCCGTAGTTTCGAAGTGCTCCATGAAGATGTTGACTATAACCGGTGAAAGAGGTGATCCCATGGCTGCGTCTTGAAGTTGCTGGTAGTAATGGTCTCGCCATTTGAAGGAAGTTGAGTTGAGGCTGAAGTACATGAGGTCATGTATTTCATCCGGTGTCAGGGGAGTTCTGTCAGGGAGGGTGTCGTCAGCTTCGAGGGTGTCGTCAGCTTCGAGGCGTTCTTCGACGATTCGGCAGGATTCGGTGACAGGAACATTGGTGAACAGAGATTCAACATCGAAACTGACCATGATGTCTGTATCGTGTATGGTGGTCTTGGAGAGGATGACGACAAAATGCTTGGAGTTATTTTAAACCATTCATGTAATGTATGTTTGTGTATAGACATCCCCCCATACACAAACCTGTAATTGAAATAAATCTAACTGTATGTGGATTGAACCTTTTAGAATTCAATCAACGTGTGTTTGCCTCTCGGACTGCCCAAGATGCGGTAGGGCCATATGGTGGTTAGACTACCAAATAATTTTGGGGATAGAATTCACTTTGTGAAAATTACAATGCTAGACAGCTTAAGTGACTTTTCTGTCCTTTCTTTGCAATTTCATTTGCCAACAAATCACTGAAGAAAAAGTATAATGTCTAGGATTATCCAAATAAATCGGGTTCGACTGGAATTACCACCTTTACATACAAAAATTAAAATGTTGACATTCAAGAGAAGTAATACATGCTCTTGTTAAAGGGCATCTAATTATAAATAGAGTACAGAAATCGTGGGGAGAAGAGAGAAATTGAGAAAATAGAAGGAAATGGGAGAAAAAAGTAAAAACAAGAAAAAGGACTTTCATGGTAAACAAAGAGATGAAAACTGAGAAAGAGAGAGAGAGAGAGAGATGTTGTATATATGGTAACTACTCTAGGAGGAAAAAGTTAAAGATGTTAAATGGGATTTCCATTAGAAGAAAATCATACAGATTACATGCAAACTTCAAATAAATCTGAATATGCTTACAGTAAACATGTGTCAGAGCAATTAGCCGAATTTCCACAGGTGTCTGAGGATTTGTATGCATTTAAAGTTGTATTAAATGGAATCGGGGTGACAAATGTAATAAAGCAGCTTCACGCCTTCACTAACCTTTGAATCCACCTTTCTGCAACGAAGGTGTGGCCGACGTTTGTCACTTGTAACATTTCTGCCCATTTCGAGTACTTCAAAATAACGGACGCATGTTCGATGACAAAGTGCATCCACTACATCTCCTGTTAACCATCCCTTGGTGCTCTTTTGTGCCTGTTGAAAAGAATAGATGCTGGTTGCTTATTTGAAGAAAAAAACCTGAAGGGAATACCATGACGTCGCATAGTGAGCACAAAGAACTAGGTATTTTATGGAAATATTGCCAAACACAACCAAGCATGTTGTATATGGTAACTACTGTAGAAGGCATACAGTATACATTCAAACTTCCAATCAATCTGACTTACAACAATAAAAGTTAAGTCAATATGCTTTAACATGTTTCAGAGGAACAGTTAGATGAATTTCATCCACTGTCTTGACGAAGTTGTATGATTTTAATGTTGTATTTGGATTCAGAAATAAATGCTACTTGATATTTGATACATGTACTTGCTTTCCTTCTTCAATCCTGGTATCGTTTCCCAATTGAAAGTAAGAAAATTCATAAATTTCAATTTTCTTAGTTCCTGATGACAGAAATTCTTTTCATACAGGCTATGTGTAGAAACATATGTGCAATTATCATATGTAGGGGACATGTGTGATATTTCTTTACAGGGAGAGGACCTGGCAAGAACCTTCATAGCGTTGTCAATTTGTGTTTCATTGTTTATATATTTCAAATAACCAATAATTATATTATTCTCTATCAGATTGTGCACAAAAATTCACTGATTTATTTCTCTCAATTTCCTGCTTTTATCAAAAACAACTGATTATTAGGGGGAACTTTCTGTTAAGTATCATATTTTCACTTTTATAACTTCTTTAGGACCAACATAGTCGATATGACAAAGACATTTACCGTGTCATGTTGAAGCGTTATTTTCATCCTGTTCTCAGTAGTTATTTGTTCAGCCAGGGGATCCAATTCGTCATCCGTAAAACAGCGGATGATACTATGCGAAATATGTGTCCATGGAAAGTACATATTAAAACATTTTGAATCACTAAATTTTAATATTATGAAATAAAGCAGAATATAACCTTCTGTGATATAATACATTATATAATGCTTCCTTCCATATATGCTATATTTTTTAAATAATTTTTATTTATATACAGTGCGTCCCAGAAAAAACGAAACCGAGAATTATCGATGTTTTATCTTCACTTAATCACAATTATAATTGATAAATGACACATACCGGTATTTGGAAAGCTTAGATCCTCCTCTTTCATTTGGTGCAACTTATAATCCATATTTCACGCATGAGTGATTAAAATGAATTTGAAGAGAGGAAAACAAAAAACCATTTGGCGGACGGTATCTGGATTTCAAAGAGAAAATCACATTTCTAGAAAGTTGAGTTTCTGCCCTTTCATATGACACCTCAGTCAGGGAAAATGAGCTAGGAATAACAAAGTTCTGCTGGTTTAAAGTAGTGCTTGCATTTCCATAATTTTATTAAACGAATTCGTTTTCACTGGCTGTCTGCTGTAGCACCAAACGGAATTAACAAATGACTTAACTCCGTTTCGTTGACAATCAGCCGTAGACGAAAGACTTCATGCTTCTTTGAAATTCAGATACCGCCCGCCAAATGACTTTTTGGTTTCCTCTCTTCATATTCATTTTAATCACTCATGCGTGAAATATGCATCATATGAGTTGCTCCAAATGAAAGAGGAGGATCTAAGCTTTCCAAATATGTGTCATTTATTAATTATAAATGTGACTAAGTTATTATAAAACATCGATAGTTCTTGGTTTCGTTTTTTCTGGGACGCACTGTATATTATAATTGCTCTATGTGGTTATGTAACGAAGAACACAAATGGCAATCGTAAAATTATCGAGATGAATTTAATTATGTAGTTTATATCCCTTTTACTTTACCACCGACCCTTGTCATAATTTCGATTACTGTCAGAAATTGAAACCATTTCATTTCTTTGGTATTATGTAGGCCTATTCGTTTTTCGTTAATTTACTATTTCAATGATCATTCATTTATATATTTATTCATCTTTTTTAAAATTGTATTATTATCACTGTTATTACTTTTATTATTATCATTATTATTATCATTATCATTATTATCATCTTAATCATTACCATCATTGGAAATAATGACAATTTCTGCAAACATGTCCCTGATTAACGTTACCTTATTGATTTCAAATGCAGGTGGTTCTTTAGATTACGTAGTATTGCTTCACTGCGTATGTTGCCCATTACTAGCTCTCGGAAGGTCAGACACGTGAGTTGTGGGAATGAACTGGAGAAAAGTTGTCCCAGTGAAGTAGGTTCTCCAATGAGAGGAACAAATTTTTCCTCAACCTCATCATGGCCACGCTCAATAGTAAAAACTGCTAGGCTGGAATGTGCCAACCGTTCAACTACTCCCGGTGAGACAGTATGGAGAGTGGTAAAAGTCAGTTGTTTCAAGCTCGGGAATAGGTCCCCAATGGTCACATTAATGTCACCGTTATTAAACTTCTGTAGACCATTAAGGAATTGGTGATCTACGACCAGCTCTTTGATTGAGGATTTATCTCCCTGTGTGCAAATTGACAATGAAATAGAGTATTGTCAATAAATCTTTTCATATAATATTTTACTCAAGTTATGATTTGTACATTCTCCACCTTTAAAGATAATAATAAAAGCTTGTATGAAAAAGGATGGCAGATTAGTCATGTTTTACAATGCCATACAGACATAAATTCCCATTCTATTGAAAAGGAAAAAGAATTTAAACTTTTTCTCGATGAAGCAGATTTCCCCCCCCCCCCCCCTAAAGATAGATATCTTACGGCCCCATTTCAGTTTTGATTTTTCATAATTGCTCGAAGAAAAAATACTCATGAACGTTTTTCCTGTTTTTCCCCTAGTAGTCACCCTGTTTTCTTGTAATATGCTTTTCAGTAACTTCTTTATTTAAAAAACCCTATTATACGTATAAATAAGAACAGACATTTTGGGGTCACTTTTTTAAAGGATATGTCCACCCTGATATCAGCTGAAAAATGAGATAAACAGGCCGTTGAAAGTTTAAGCACATTCCGATTAAAAATAAGAAAGTTATGAATTCTGTCAAAGATGAAGAAGAACAAAGCAGCTGGACCAGATGGTGTGGTCACTGAAATGTTTGAAGCATTAGAGGAATATGGTGTTGATAGATTAACAGAAATTATCAACAAAATATATGATGACGGAACATTTCCAGATGAATTGGGCAGATCCATTTTCATTACTCTCCCAAAGAAACCGGGAGCCGTAGATTGTGAGCAATATAGGACAATCAGCCTTATTTGCCTTATCACTAAGATTATTTTGAGAAGTTTGCTTTTCAGAGCAAGAAGTAGAATAACTCCCATGGTCGGAAGGGAACAATTTGGTTTTGTAAAGGATGCGGGCACAAGAAATGCAATATTTTTCGTTAGAAATATAACGGAGAGAGCAGTCGAATTGCAAAAGGATGTGTACATGTGTTTTATTGATTATTCAAAGGCTTTTGATAAAGTAAAACATTCAGAACTTTTTGAAGAGCTGAAAAAGCTTGATATACAGTGCGTCCCAGAAAAAACGAAACCGAGAATTATCGATGTTTTATCATAACTTAGTCTCATTTATAATTAATACATTACACATATTTGGAAAGCTTAGATCTTCCCCTTCCATTTAAGATTTTTTTTCTCCCCTTTGACTTCATCTGCAAAACTCGGCATTGCTTCCCTACTATCTTCAAACAGTTCGCCCATGTATTGGGTCCACCTACTCATTTTGTCCTTCATTTCAAACAGGATTGACCCATCTTTTCCTTTGATACAGCCACAGAAAGAGAGAGAGAGAGAGAGAGAGACTCAGGAACTGAAAATGCATTCGATTCGACTCAGAAAATACTTTGCCAGGATTATTAGCACAATCATAATTTATTCTGGGTTTTTTTTGTCGTTGGAGATTTTATTTTACCTGACTGTTGAAAAGGTGTTATCCCTGTGGAAAAGTACCCAGGAAAATTGATGTCATTGACATATATTTGTCTTTTTTACCAGGAATATCAGTCCAAAGAACAAAAATAATATGTTTACAAATTATTCACATCTCCTCAGTTTTGCATTGCATTTGTCATTTCATTGAGAAAGAAATACAGTAATCGGAGCAGTAATAATAATAATATTGGATATTTATATAGCGCACATATCCACCATGCATGGTGCTCAAGGCGCTCCAACTATTGCCCCGGCTCTGCTAGGCTGCCGATTTCGGCGCTCACAGCATTCAAGGAATTCCTTCCTACCGGTACCCATTTAATACCTGGGTGGAGAATAGCAAATGTAGATTAATCTCTTGCCAAAGGATATTAGTGCCATGGCGGGACTCGAACCGTGGACCTTGTGATCCACAGTCCAACGACTTATCCACTAGACCACAACACCTTTAAATTGTTTAGGGGAAAAATTAATTTTGAATCTTTTATACGAAACTAGAAATTCATCAATCAAACTGCTGAAAGCATAGATTAACAAATTTGAGAATTAGTGTAAGGCACTCTTCGACTATACTGGGGGAAAAAAATCTGATTTATTATTATTTGATTTAGTAGATAATGTTTCACTCGTACTGGCTCATCTTGTGTTTATCTTTTATTTTTTTCACCTAATTTTTTGTATAAAGATGTTGACTCATGGAAAAGAATTAAGCATATTAACGGCAATTCATTCGTATTCCATTCACACAATTTCAGGTTTAAAAAAAACAAAAAAAAAAACGTTGCATCTTTTGTTTTTCTGCTTCTTGATTTTGTGTTAACCTTGAATGAAGAAGCACGATCAGCAATCTCTGTGTAGAAATCAGCATGAAGGGAGCATGAGCTCATCATCAGGTCTGTCAGATGAGGCAGGAGACTGAGAAACTTCCCCAGACAGAAGGATGCTGATGGATCATACTCTAGATTCAACTTGTAAACCCTAAACTTCTGAATCTGTGCATGGAAATACAAAAGAATAACATATGTGAATCAAGCATGAAAAAGGGAAAATAATGAAAACCCTTATAATAGTCAGTACTCTCACATTAAGAACGCATATAATCACAGTAGATGATCCAGGATTCTGAAGGGGGCGAAAACAAAGTTGATAGCAGGGCTCAAATTAATTTTTTGTCCACGGGGGCTCTTCCAAAAAAAAGAGCCCCCGTGAGCCTTCTCATGGGGGCTCTTTTAGTGCTGACGGGGGCTCTTATTCTAATACAAATTTCCATTGACTTGGTACCCATGAAACTCCTAAATTCCTTGGTATTTTATCATTATCATTTATTTGATTTTTTGTTGCTATTTTGAACCCCCATTAGTGATGTTTTCCTGGCATCTACTGACATTACTAATACTGTGTAGGTCTGGACACATGATAGCATTTTTCTATGCACATCACATTTTCACCCGGCAGCCCAAGGGGGGAGTGGGGGGGGGGGGGGTTAAAAACCCTAAACCGCCTAGATCCGCCCCTGCAACATCTTTGGTGATCTTCTTCTCAATATTGATGTACTGGTCGAGTTACATTATTTGGTGGTCTTTTAGAATAACCAGATTTCAGAGGATTCACACTTTTCACAACGAAAAACTTCTCCATGTTTCAGTCCTTGCGCGATCGTCTCCAGCTCCAGCAGATATTGGGCGTCAGTGTGCACACCGGTACTACCAGCGCAGTATAGCCAACGCTGACGGCCGCACAAGCTGCACTGCGAGCTTCCGTTGTTTGTATCGGTAATACTCAAAGAGATATGGGAGAGACAGTGTCATCTAAGTTCCATTTCATTGGTTTAAGGTTTGAAAATTGATACTCAATGTTGTGTTCAAGTTATATCAGAAAAGATAATCTTTAGTTTATAATTCCACGGGGGCGATTTTTAATTTTTCAACTGCCCCGTGACCGTGAGCAACCTGACGGGGGCGATTATGGAGCTCACGGGGGCGAATCGCCCATCGCCCCCGTGTATTTTGAGCACTGGTGGATAGGCAAGAAAAAAGGAGGAAGAAATATTGTAATTGGGGCAGTAGCATATTTTATGGGGGAAAAAGTAATTAAAAATCTTTATTACTAAGCTGCACATACAAATTTGTCAATCATATTGGAGAAAGCGGGAATTTAAAAATTGCATCGTTATCACTTATCAGTGTATACTCAGGAACTTAAGATGCATCTGATTCGACACAGAAAATACTTTGCCTGGATTATTAGCACATTCATAGTTTATTCTGTATTTTTTGTCGTTATTGATTTTACCTGACTGTTGAAAAGGTGTTATGCCTGTGGAAAAGTACCCAGGGAAATTGATGTCATTTAAATGTATTTGTCTTTTTTTACCTGGAATCTCGGTCCAAAGAACAAGAATAATATGTTAACAAATTATTGACATCTCCTCAGTTTTGCATTGCATTGGTCATTTCATTGAGGAAGAAATACAGCAATTGGAGCAGTAGCACATTACATAGGGGAACATTAATTACAAATCTTTCATACGAAACTATACAAATTCATCAATCAAACTGGTGAAAGCATAGATTTACAAATTTCAGCGTTATCAGTAATTAGTGTAAGGCACCCTTTGACTACTGAACAAAAATCCGATTTTCTCTCGTATTGACCCTTTTTGTGTTTAATTTTTAATTTTTGCACCTAATTTTTTGTATAAATATGTTTACTCATGGAAAAGAATTAAGCATATTAACGGTAATTCATTCGTATTTCTATCACACAACTTCAGGTTTAAAGAAATATATATATAAAAGTGCGAAAAACACTTTGAAATTGCATAATCATTTCTAAGTTTATTCCGAAAGTATTTCTCGTACTAATTTTTGCTATGTTTATGATGCTTGACTATGATTGAGTGATATTAAGTTTGTATGCCATGTATATTTGTTCATACAATGTATTTTTATTTGTTTTTGTTTGCACTTCAGAACCTGAGGAAGGCCTCACAAGCCGAAAGCTCGTAATAAAATTATAAAAGTACAGCTATACGTCTCACGTTCCTAGACCATTTCTTCACGCCTATATATATATATATATATATATATATATATATATATATATTGCATCTTTAGTTTTTCTGCTTCTTTTAAAACAATAGATATTACCTGAGATGAAGAAGCTTGATCAGCAATCTCTTTGTAGAAATCATCATGAAGGTAACATGAGTTAATCTCTAGGTCTGTAAGATGAGGCAGGAGACTGAGAAACCTCCCCAGACAAGATGATGCTGATTGATTAGTGCGTAGGTTCAAATATTGAACCTTAAACGTCTGAATCTGTGCATGGAAATACAAAAG